TGAATTCTGGGAGGTACTCTGAACAGTAGTGATGTACACATGTAATGAAGATATGAAAACACATGACGGGAATTATATCTGCCGTTCTTTGTCGTTTCAATATTCAGGAATTTTGTAGGTTAAGAATTCATAACTTATTTTATGAGAAGGAACATACCAACGATCTATTATTGGAAGAAGGATATGATAGATCAACAAATCCAGATAATTACATCCAGAGGTTGCCATGGTTAGACTTACCATTTTATATTTTGGTTGTCAGCATTTTTCATTAGATTAAACATTGTCAATATTTTCATCCATAGATTTCATTTTCACTTTCTATTTATTTACTTATTTTCTTTCCTTTCATTTTTATTATTACTTTAAAAAAATCATTGATAACTTTATTGTTTTGGTCCCTCAATCTTATCACTACCATGGCCGAACAAGTCCCGAACCGAATGTGACACCTTGGGTGGTTCGAGCTGTTTTGGGGGGAGTTTTGAATCTATTTCAAATTGTTTTTCTCCAAAATTTCCTCTCTTGATTTGAATTTGGTGCCCCAACCTCAACCTAGCTGTATTTGAACTAAGTGGAGATGGCTCCACGGGGTTGATGCATGGCCTTCATGCTTGAGAGAGGCCACTGGGTCGTGTTAGTTTGAGTTCTGATCTCCCCATCCATTGATGCGCTGGCGACGCCATCTTCGACCATCACTCCCTAGAGTCTCCGGGGGTATCGACCCTGCCGTTTCTCAGCTGGTGACCTGAAATCAAGACCATTTAGTTCTCTCTTTACACCACAAGAGATGCCAATATTAACGGATTTGTCAATCTCGAAAGCAGACTAGTACAACCTGTTCAATGTTCCAACCATTTTTCGTTTTTCAGCGTTTCATTTTTTTTTCAGGAGGTTCAACAGATGATTTGTTCAACAGATTTGGTTGACGACCAAGTGGATGTTCAGCAGATTTTCTGAGGCATAGGCGTAGGTGTGTCGCCAACCATCTTGATGTTCACCTGATCTTGATGCCCCAAGTCCTGTCGACTTTCTGTTCACAGGATATGCCCCAGAAGGGGCCTCACAATGTGCAGCTTGTCCTACTGGAGAAGTCCCACACCACGGCCCCTTGGCAGATGAGGACGAAGCGTTCAGAGCAGAGCTGGTTTGTGAGTGCTCTGGGTGGGCTGCATCTCAAGTCTGTGGAAGTCTGGCAAAGAATTGCCAGACATATCTTATTTTCTGAGGTGGTTTGGGGGAAGTCCCAATCTCCTTCAACGACAGAATAAGAGCTGCTTGAAAGGTGTCTCGATGTTGAATTTCAGCTGAGCCAGCGCCGAGGCCGCACTGACTGCACGCCTTGTGCTCCGGGAGAATATGCAGATGGTGAGACATGCCGGCTTTGTCGATTCCCTCGTTTCTTGAATGGCAACAACTGCAGCCAGTTTGCACTCAGAACGGCCAGATGTTGGCAGGCTTGAAGCCGGACTGGGAGGCTTGAAGCTGCTTTATTTAGCTTTCAACTGTTTTAAGATCCACGGTCTGCTCGCCTGTCCTGTTTCAGTGTTTCAAATCACCGGATTTTGCGCATGATTTTGCTTTGGCTTTTGTATGTTTCTCCCAGGTATTTGGTGGCACCTTCCGATGATCGTCCTGGTGCTCCTCTTCTTCTCCGCCCTCGTCTTCCTCGGGCACCGCGTCACCAAGCGGCGCCGGAAGCGCTGGACCGAGCGCCGTGAAGAGGAGGCGGAGTCGGGGCGGAGTCGGGCAGAGTCGGAGACATGATCTGTACATGTAGATACGGCTAGTGATATGGCTATGAGTCAACATGGGGCTTTTGATCCATACCCATGATGGGCGGCCCATTTATGGCTTATGGTAGTGGGGTGCTTGTTGATTCGATGACCAAACACCTCAATCCACCATGGGGATTGGTGGATTTGCCTGGGCACTGGAGGGTCACGCTTTAGGCAGATGGAACACGTGGAATTCACGCTTCCGATGATGGTCCAGCCTGGTGGTGTTTCCTGGTGTGAACGTTGTCCCAATGCCCTTCATACATCGATCTGGGAGTTGTTTATGATTGTTTATGTGTATATACTTATGCCAAAGTCAGTCCTTAGAATGCCATAATTCAGCCCCACCGTCAGGCAATTCTTTGGGTTCCGATCATTCCAATCAGCCACTGCTTCGCTCGTTGAGCTCAGCTCCACCTCCCCAAACACTTGATATAAAAGGCATGTTATTGCTTCTGGCTTGAAAGGGTTCATGAGATTGTTTTTGAGTTTTGAGTTCTGGTGCTTTTGTTTGCTTGGACAACGCCGCTACTCGAGCAGGTGAACCAGATCCTTCAACAGCTCGAACAGGAGCTTTGGCATGAGAAGCTGAACACCATGAACAGGCTGCGATCATCCTCAGTGCATGCATAAGCTTGTTTTTCTATATACATACTGTTCAATGGATAGCGACATGTTGTGTTGCCTCCTTTTTTGAGTTGCAAGCCAGTGATCGAGTTGCGCATCTAATTTGTGAATGTCTCACCTTTTCAACCTGTATATGGAGCCTGATCCTGGAGAGGTTTTTTGTGGCCTTGAACGGCTTTGGCTGGACCTGGAACCAAGTGTGTCAGCGAGCTGAAGAGATTCTCAGATTGAGCTTTGAGATGTTCTCAGATCTTGTCTGAGGGTTCAAGATGGAAGGTCAGGGAAGTCTGATGAGTAGGACGATGTGGAACTCGAAATCTCACGCAGAAGAAATGCTCCCACTCACAGGCAGACATGGAATCTGCAAAGGAAGCAAGTCTTGCAGGCGCCCATTATCCCATTCCATGTGAACTTGAGTTGCAAGGACAGTAGAGATTTCCACTTGAGCTATCTTTAGTCGTGTTTCGCTGCCAAAAACCCGAGGATCCGGGCCCGTCACAGCGCCCATGCGGGTGTGAGCCTGGCGTATTTGATGGGTGACTTCTCACGGGTGGCCTATGACTGGTCTGGCGAGGATGATCCAACATTTCTTCGCTTGAAGGAGGCAGGAGGATCTTTTGTTTGTGAACTAGCTGATGAGTAGGTGACAGTGATGGGAGAGGATTCGACAATTTTTGAGGGATGAGCAGAAACAAATATAAAGCCGAAAGGTTTTAAGTACCAGCCAGTCTTTGAGGGGGAGATGAGTGGAACAAAGGGATGTATGCCTTGTCTGTGGCTGGTGCCCGTGTTTTCCGGCTTTCAGTGCCCGATCTTTCCTTGAGGTCTTCTGGCAAGGCGAGGAGAAGCTCGGATCTGACATTCCTTGCCCCCGCGATGGGCGACCAGGATGCGCGCTGGTGGATTGGCTGTCGCCAGAGCATCGTCAAATGCAGACGCATTTTATGCCACTTGGCCAGACCTAAAAAATGCCACGAGAAGCGGAAAGGTTGGAAGAGGGTTGAAGTTTTGAGCACATGACACATGAGAGGGTTAGGAACTTGGACATGAGGGTTGGAGTTTTGAGCTCCGGAAACCTTTTCTTCAGATATGACGCATGTGGGCCTCCTAGGGAACCGCATGATCCTGAAGTTGCCACGTGCCACATTTGACGCCGCCTGGGACGCGGGTTCTGAGAGAGGTTCCTTGTTGCGGGTTCTGAGGATCCATTCGGGGCCGAGTAATCTCAGGAGGTGCAATTCCCAAGCAGCACCAGCTTTTCATATAGTTTTTTCCATCCACGTTAAACGGCAAGGTCCCATGAAGTGCCTTCAGATTCATCTTGCGCAACATTGAATGCTCCAAGCCTCAAATTCTTGTTGATGGGACGGACCCGAAAAAAAGATACTTTCAAGGTTCCTCACAAATTTGATGTGGTAGCTGCTGTAGCTGCTGTAGCTGCACGTTTATCAGTTTTGAACGTACCTCGTGTGGACTTTGATAGTTTCGGGTCTACAGCTTTTGGAAGGAAATGAGTGACGAAGAAACCATCGAAGGTCCTGGAGCTGGCAATATTCACTCCAACAACTGCAGAGCGCCATGAAGATGTGGAGGGGAACCACAACGCTGGATGTTCAAGAGGCTTAGCTGATGGGTCAACTTGCTTTTTGTCTGATTTCAGTGAGGTTTGCAACGAGCTTGGCATTGTGTGTTGGCATGAGAGAATCATAGAACAGCCAAGGAGGTCTTCTTCTACATCTGTTTCTTTGTCAACAATCAATTCCGCATCATCGTGGAAGGATCGGCCATGGGAAGTGACAATTTGGAAGAAGTCTTCGAGAAGAATCTCCGGCGCATCGGGCGTGTGGTCGCAGTGTTGGACACATGGCAGCAGCCTGTCTACCTGCAACGTGTGTGGACGATCTACGAGCAGTACGTAGCTTGCTCCTTGCAAGTACCGGTGACTTTCGTCATGCCGGAACATGCAAGTGCTTCTTGTCTTAAATGATCGTTCTTCAATGTTCTTCATGTCTTTGACGTTGTTTTTCCAAGCCTCGGCTGTGGTCGCCCGATCCAGTAGACCCCGAACAAAGTAATCTGGGAACATATTGTTGGGACCCCTTGATCCATTCGACGTCGTCAGGTGTCCCTATCAGATCAGATGCTTTGCTGAGACTTTAGAAGCACCTTTTCTCCTTTTTTTCTCTCTTCAAAAACAAAAAATGCACACATATTTCAGATTCATATTTTAGATTATCTAGATGACTCTTTCTTTTTCGCGAATTTTCGGGGTCGGTCACTGGTCACAGCTGGAATTCTTCCCCCAAATTCCCTTCGGCAGGATCTCTCGCGGAGAGTCGGGCATCGACGACGTCACATCATCCCTGTGCCACGTCAACGTGGCCGATGCTCGAGCCTTTGATCCCAGAGACGAGGAGAAGGTGAAGAGGACGATCGAGTGCACGGACGCTTGGAGTTGATTGGATTCGTGTGTCGTTTTGTTCAACTTATAGCCTATGATAGCCTATTCTATGCTTGGTCTATGGAATTTGAGCACGACCTGAAACCACCAAGACACTGTCAACAACCGTGTTTTTTGTTTAACGTCTCAGTGTGGTTTAGTGTGGGAGTCCTTCCTCCAACGGTGTGTCTTTTGGCATGCACTGTCGCACTGTCGCACCATATATTTTTCCAACAGCTTGTTGATTTCTGAACAACCCCGCGTAAGCTTAGCCGGGGTGTTTGGTTTCATGTTTCGTAAGTCGTTGGCAAGTCGTTGATCTGCGGGACATGTTTCGCAAGTCGTTGCCTGTTCAAAGGCTAGGCGTAGGTCACAGATATGGGAAGCCAGGATCAGAGAACAGCAGAGCAAATCTAATCTAAACAAAGCAGCAGAATTGGGATCAAATGTCAATTTGCTGTCAATTTGCTAGACCTGTCATGACCTGTTTTGCCCCAGTGCTCTGGAAGCACTTGCAAGGTAGGTTTTGACCGAGTGAACCAGCACGTAAAACATGCAATGATCCAGTGGATTCGCGTGGTGGTGAAAGAGAAGTTCCAACGGCTAGTCGACGCAGCTGATCGTGAGGACGTCTTTTCAGTCTAGCAGAAGTCTAGCAGCTAATTAATGCTCAAACATGCTCAATCAAGTAGCATGTGTTTGTCTTGGCTAGGAGAACGCCTGTGATTTCTTTAGCCTAGCAGAAGTTAGCAGAAGTCTAGCAGATCTGGGGGCAGAAGCCTGGTGCTACATGAACACTCAGACGTCAAGCTCCACGGAAAAATTTGAAGCCGCTGTGGTTTTGGGGTCCAAGACATAGCCGGTCTCAAGATCCCCCCTGCGTCTGCTGTTGGAGCTGCCTATGCTTTTTGAGCCAAGATGATTGTACCCATTTCCACATTGCAGAAAGAACTCCGTAAAACCCCTATAACCACCAGAACACCGTATAGATACGTGTCATAAATACATGTAGATACCGCATGTTTTTAATATTTCGGGTGGGTGTGGCGCAGTGAAGACAGCTCAGATGGCAAAACATTGCTCAGGCTTGGGTACTTTTTTGGGCAGCAGACCTTAAGCTTTCCAGTAGAACAACAATCGTTGCTCCCTCTTCACTGGAATCATTCAGAGACATTTGCATGAAAACCAAAGCACACCGTTCGGCCGCTTTTTAGGGTACATCAGAAACTGCGAGAGAGAGAAACTGCGAGAAACCGGAGAAAGGACAACTGCTCAACTGCTCCGCCAGGGCAGTGCTGTCCCAACCCCAACTGAAGCTGAAGAGGCCCGCCCAAACTGGGAGGATGGCAGGATGCGGTCGGATGGCATGAAATCTGTGGCATGGGATATGCTACGGGTCAAGCGATGGGACAACCTCGTCTCTTTTGCTTATTCATGATTTTCATGATGCAAATCCCAAATTCCGGAGGACCCTCCTGGGCTTGCAACATGAATCGGACGCCGTTATATCATTGCAAGTTTCTGAATCTTTTATTACAGTACTGCATAGGTCAAATCCCATCAAAAGGCAACAGTGCCAAAATGGTCAAGTCGTTTCAAAAACATATCATTTCACTATGCGACAAGTGAACTCGCGACAAGATTCTCCAATAGATCCAGAGAAGTGTCAACATTCTTCAAGACCCTTTTTCAACCAACCACAAAAGCGCGTCTCCTCCAGTTGTTCTTGGTTGCTTGGCATCATCCAGTGTGTCCACATGTCGTTGGCATCAGGTCCTTTCGAGGAGAGGATAGGAACCTCCTTCCTCTCTTCGCACGTACCGCTGGGACCGGTCGCCTGTGGGCCAGTCCAGAGCGACCAAAAAGCACCGGTGGTGTCCCAGAGCTTCGGAACAGCCGGGTGTTTTCGGGTGTTGGATGTGTTTGGGTCGGGTGTCCGGTTATTGCGAGACCCCTATGAGCTGTACACCACGCCAATCCGATCAGGTCATCATTTGGGTGTCCGGTTAATGGAGGTTTTGGATGACCGTCGATTTCTCCTCCCCAAACACCAGGGATCAACCTGGGGGGGGTCGATCCAAGATGCACGGTTGTTCGGTCTCCCCATGCGGGCCTTCTCCTTCACTGGGCTGCAGGGGATGGGAGACCGAAACATCCGGAGGGTCGTCGCCGGCTCCGGTGCGAGGAGTGGAGAAGTTGGCTGCCAGGAGTGGAGTGAGGCGCAATGTTCATGGGGTGGTGGTTCTTCATCCGTTCCATCCTGGATGAATGATACCAGTCATGAAACACATCATGTCATAATATGTTTTACACACCTGCTTGACAACAGAGGTGGTGAAATGATGATACAGCCTTTTGGTGCCACGCAACGGAACCCCAACATGCCTCAAGCATGGCACGTGTGCCGCATCACCAAGTTTGCTGGCAGGTGGGACGCCAAGTTCGTTCCGGTCACCAAAGGAAAGACGTCGATGTTGGCGCAAAGGCTTCCAAAAAGGATGTGCTTCGTGTGCACGTGAGACTAGACGTTGGCTTCAGGACTGGCTGAAGGGCCAAGTTTTGGAGGCCCCAACAGCTGATATGACCGGAGGTAGATTGATGGTATGTCCGATGTCCAAGGGGTGACTCCAAAACAGACCCCAACTGCGGCAGCGAGCTGTGAGCCAAAATGCCATCCACCCGAAGAATCCGGGCCCGAACCAACAGATAGGGTTTGGATGGGTTTGGTTTGGGCGCAGACCCCTGCTATGGAGGGCCGAGGTTGGGTCCGACCCCTGCGAAGAGGTCGAGCCCAAGGATTCAAGTTTCAGATTGGCCGGTTGCCGTGCGCGGGATGTCCATTTCCTGTGATCATCCTGGCAGTGGCAGCGGGGCAAATGTGGCCTGCATGGGTTCTTTTCCACAAGAAGATGTCACCATTATAAGGGAGACCATTTTGGGGTCCAATACTCTGGTTCCAAGTTCCTTGGCACACGGATAGTTGACATCCCTCGTGAGCTTTCGGACATAGTTGACATCCCCATGTGGTCAGATGGTTGACGGAAAACACCCTGCACCACCTCACCAAACCATTAACCGCAAACACCAGGGTGTTCCTCATCGGCGCCGTCTGAAGAAAGAAGTTTGACCCAAAAAGTTCCAGGAAATCCGACCAGTTTTCTGACAGCCTGTTTACTCTAAGTGTCCGAACATATCGTTGCCCAGTCTTCCAAAATCACAGCTTCCTCGCAAGCTGTGAAATTCCAACATATCTCATCAACCGAGTTGCCGAGGATTCACAGCATTTTCACGATGAATATCATTACCGAAGTTTCACGTATGAAGCATCATGAAGCATCAACGCATGTCTGAATATCATCATCACCGAGTTGCCGAGGAAGCCAAAACCTGAAAGCACCGTGCCTGTGACCGAGAAAAAACTCCGCAGCCTTTGCAAAGAACACATCACGCCCAGTTGTCCGATGAAACATCAGGAGGCCAGTTCTGCCAGACACATGTAGTGGCACGGTAGACCAAAAACCGATCACTGGCCGATGCTCGGTGAGTAGGGCGAAAAAGAAAAAAACACACAACACACACCCTGGGAACTGTCCTGGCCCCGTCATCGGTTTGATCGGTTTGAGCCCCTCTCGATGTCTTGAGTATCGGAGAGGAGGCCATTCCCAGCCACCACGGAGACACGGAGAGACTCGTGGCGGTGGCTGAGGATCGTGCGTGCCCTTTTCGTGCGATCGGGCCTGTCGTTCTCGAAGAAGCCCTGAGTCTCGGCATCACTGTCTGAGTGCGATCCGCGAGATCTCGGTGCATGAGTTGCGTGGCTCAAAGTGACAGAATTCCGATAGACAACACTGTCTTGGAACATCTTGGAACACTCCATGGAATGGATCTCTTTTTTTCAGGGGGGATCCGGGATGACTATGCTTAATTCAACCCGAATTCCAAACGTTCTTTCCCCGTTTGAAACCTCGGGTCGTCCTCCAAGTCGTCGTCCTCGTCTCGTCGTCCTACAAGTCGTCCTTTCGTTCGTCTTCGTGCATCCAATTTCGGGGTTCGGGTCCCAGGTCCCAACGAAATCAGATTTGTTGGGACTGGAATGAATCCACGAAATCCTTCAGGTCCCAAATCCTCAACGCTAGGGCTCTAAGATGCTCTAAGTACCTCCTCAGGTTCGGTATCTGGACCCTCTAAACCCACCCTAAACACCTTCTCAGAAGGTACTTGGAGCCCAAACGGGCAAGTCTTTTTCTTCGCGCCGCTGCTCCCTCCGTACTCATGGCCTGATGGCCTCGTTCCGCGCAACGGCGAGGCGAGGCGGTTCCGCCGGGTCGGGTTGGCGACCGGAAGGTGGAACCCAAACGAAGCTGAGTTGGAGTCATGACATGCTGTGCTATGCCCCTGAGCCTTGAACACTTCGCTTTTGGTATACCTGTGGGATCAAACACAACATCGATATTCTCTGTCCTGGCACCCTCCCCCTTTTCATTTGCTCACATGAAAGCACATGAAAGCAACATGAAAACGCATGAAAGCAGAATGAAAGCAACATGAAAGCGAGTGAAAGCAACATGGGGAGTGTTTTCGGTTGTATTTCTACTTGAACAGTTGCAAGTCCAAAATCTTTCAACATCCAAATCCATCATGTTCCTGCTTTGTGGAAGCTTTAAACCCAAAGCAGGGATCGCCCCAAAGTTGTTGTACCAGGCCATCTCGGACGTCCCGTCCGCCCGCGGTCGACCGGCCGCCCGCTGTACCGGACAGGTTCGTGCCATGGATCGCCTGCGGAGCGATGCTCTCGCAAGGCAGTCGGACGAGCTGCGACGGACTCTCCGGGAGCGTGTAGGACCGGTGAGTCCGCCGAGCTTGGCGGCTTTTTTCATGTTTTGGCTCTGTGAAGAGGATATCGATCCGGAGCCAGAGGTGGGTTTGGTGAGCGATTTGAGCCCGGTTTGATGAGCTGAAGATGCTGGAAAGGTGAAAGATCTTCAGACCTCAAGTGGGGTGTGAAGACTGCCAACATGCTGTGAAAGGCTCTTTGATATAACCAGCATCAACCAACCAACCTGTTAGTCAACGCTAGTCAACACATGCCATGTTCGTCACCATTGGCTCCGTGTCTTTTTTTGGGGACGATCAGCCCTTCTTCGCAGTCTCCGCAGGAAAAGATCCGACCAAACTACACCTGCTAACCTCGAAGCTTTATACGCCAAATAGGAAATCATAGGTTTAGCAGGCTGGTTTAGCCTATTGTACTTTAGTCTATTGTAAATACCAAAACGCCAGGTTGTCCTGAGAATTTCTCGGTGGGTTTAGCAGGTACTCCTGCAGGTACTCCCAATTCAAAGTAGAGCATCTCTCCGAAAGAACCTCAGTGGCACCCTCCAACGTTGCCGCGCCCCTCGCGATTTCCTCGCTTTTCCTCGGTCTCGTCGGCCGGGCGGCCAGGTTGGCGGTCAGCCTGCGAGCTTGGCGAGCTCCGCCCAGGTCGTTTTGGGCACGGAGGGGAATTGAGGGGATTAGAGGTGTGTGGAGATGTGGTTCGTTCGTCTGCCTGATGGGCTTAGGTCTTCCATGGTTGAAGTAGATTCCCATGATGTGGAGATTCACGGCACGGGAACTTGAAGGAGAAAGTCACAGACATCGCGCCACTCCGCGACCCAATTTGGTGGGATTCTGGACACAATATATAATCACCGACCCATCACCAACCCATCACTGGGAGAAGCAGGCAGAGGCTCTTTGGGATGACCTAACCCAAGGCTTTGGGCATCGCCATCGGTCAGATGGCGCCAGGACTGGCGCCACTGCTGTGCCTCGTAGGGGGGCCCCAGGATCCCCGAGCGCCGCCCTCCGGTCCCTGCCCCCCTAGACCTGGGTGGGGCGAGCTGCAGTGAAGTCCATCGCCTGGTAGAACGGTCGGCGGCAGCGGTTCACTGGGTTCAGTGAGTTCAGAGCTCATGACATGAGGAGGATGCAGGAATTTCCTGATTTCACCAAGACGTGGGAGTCCTTAGCTTGACCTTCTTGACTCTTTTCGATGACCTCAACTGAGCTGCACACACAACGTCGACAGATGACAGAAGATGGAGAAGGTCCAAGCGTCGAGTCCTGCGCTGGCACGGCAGACACCCTGCGGTCTTTTGGGTGTGTCACCGAGTGAACGGCAGAGCAAACGCCTAGAGGGTCGTTCCGTGACCTACCTCGGGTCGTCCTCGTAGCTTGGCCCAGGTGGGGCTTGGCTCTGGCCTGTTGATCTACCTCACGGCGCAGGCAGCTGGTCAGGGCAGGTTTTTCATATGTTTATCATGGTTTATCTATTTATATGAATCTATGTCATGTCGTTTTCGGGAGGAAGTAGAAGCTTCAAAGTTCATCCACATCCATTGGGGAATGCCGAGAGATGTTGAGTCAGGCGAGGATGCCCCACCAAAATGTTTGGTGTATGTGACCAGCTGCGCTGGCAGCCCGCTGCCAGCTGCGCTGCAAACCGCGGGCTGATGCTGGCTGTCTTTCACGTCACTCCTGGTCACCACCCCAACTTCCAAGGGATTTGAATTTGTTTTGGTCATGGTGGCTGCTAGGACTGGGGGGAACAGACTCAGAAAAGAGTGTCTAGTCACGGCAGTCTTTCTTGGTTCAGAAACAGGATGGCCTGCCCCCAAACAAAGGGGCTATAGATTCCCAACTGGAGAACAATTGCGTAAGTCACAAGTCTTCCACTTTTCGAAGTGAATCCGCACCCTCCAAGCGACCAGGTGGACGCACAGGAGGCTTTCAGTCAAATCCGCACCCTCCAGGTTCCAGTGCGACCAGAGGTGAGGTAGTTCTGGATGGTCCCAGCGGTTTGAAAAACCGCCTTCGCCCAGCAGTGGACTGGAAGGGGGTCCGGTCCGGACCGTTCTGCACCAGGTTTTTGCCATCCACGTTTCCCATGTTTCTTCTCTACGACTCTACCCACATCTTCTTCACCCGGGTGCGAGGAGGAGGGGCACCCCCACCAGACACCCTTCAAACACTGCACTGCGGCCGCCGGGGTCGAGGCACATGATGTGACGAGATCGTCCTTGGTTTGGTTCTCGTGCATGCTCACTGGCCGCTTGGCTGGTCTTAAATGCGTTGATCGCTCCGTGGTGTTTGCCCTGAGCGAAGGTTCAGGGGTTCCACAGGAGACTGGAGACTGAAGCAACTGTTCAATGCCGTCAGGTCAGTTGTAGGTCCACGATTCCAAACCCTTTTCACACTCCATTGGACAGACAGTACTCAGTAGATATGAAGACCGGGTCAATCATGATATATAGGTGGGTTTGGGCGGAGGGAACAAGTTTGCATCGGCCACCAGAAACTGGCCGTCACAGTAGCGAAAAGATCACCATCACATGTTTTTCCATCCCTTTTTCCACCATTTACATGATCGACTTTACTGTATTTGTCATGGTTATGGTCATTATTGCTCTTTATTGTTATTGTAGGTTATTGTATGTTATTTAGTATGTTATTTAGATATATATGTGATATATATTATATATACATGTGATATCTGTGTGCTTCTTGAAGGCGAAATCGCTGACCAATACGATCCACCAATGCGCTGCTACTCCACCCAGCAGATCCACCAGATCCCGAGGTCCCGGTTTCATCCACTCCTCAGTTCGGGTGGGGCCATGACAGTGGATGGTCATCCGTCGGTACCACTATAGTGGTAGCACTATGTACCAGCACCACCCAAACTGGAACTGGTGCTTCTGAGGGTCAAAGCCAACTTGGGGAACTGGTTCTGGTGGTTCTGCTTGTAAGCCACCAAGGGGCATTTCTGTTCTGTGACTCCTTTCGTGTTTTTGGTTCCGCTTGCTTGCCGCGGGTCCGGACCTCGGACCTGTCCGGCGTCCAATGGATCGAAGAGCGGAACAGCAGGTTTGGAGCTGGTTTGGAGAACCACACGGGTTTGGAGATGTTCTTCTGAACCACACATGTGTTCTCTTCTTGTTTCAGAAGATTTGGAGGAACCACACGAACATGGTTTCACCATGCTGGACACTTTTCTTGACAGGGTGGACTCAGATGAGGAACATTTGGAGTGCTCCACATGGAGGAAGAGAATCTTTCAAGGTCATGTTCCTCATAGAAACAACCCTTTTCTTCCAGAACTCACTGGAAACGGTGACCCCTCTGGTGCTTCCATGAGCCCTGGGAACCCGACGAGCTTGCTAGAGAACAGCCTGACATGCCGGGTATGTAATGTGAAGATGACCAAAGAGCTCCAGCACCAGCATCGATGGTTGTGGGGCGTAGTTGTTGCCTCTTCTTTTCCAAGCTGATCATGTGTGCGTGTCCCAACATGATGGTGGAAGATACCGCCAGTGATACCACCTTCAGGAAGCCTGGAGGGAAGGGCCTTCCGGTTCGTTCGTTCTCCTTTTTCCCTGTGCAATGTTCAATGATCTTCAAAAGCTCATTCTTTCTGCAGCAGCCCTTCGTTCTAGACCCAAAACAAATCCATTCGCACATATGCATCCAAAAACACATTCAAATTGGTCTGCCGGAAAGGCCTGCAGGGCGCCCAACGCGTTTTCCTCTTGTTTTCCGCCTCGTACCGCTGCATACCTTCACCTCTGCTCGCCCCCACCCCCCGCCAAACTGCCGAGGCGGTCTGCGAGCGATCGCCCAGCTCCGCACCACGGCGCCCCAGCGGGACGGCCCAGCGGTTCCGGCGCCAGCGGCCCAGCGCGGAGTCGATGGTCAGTTCGGTCGGTTCGGCCGGATGTTTGGGTCGATTCCATCACCCAAGATGGGTGTTAGACTCGTGTTCGCGTTGCGCGGCGATGTTTAGGTAGACCGTGGGTGGTTCTCGTCCGGTGCTTGTCGTGGCTACAAGTAAGACGACGACGAGTGACGAGTGCTGCGTGGCAAGACGATGGTGAGACCAGGGATGACGAGGGCTGCGGTCGTTCGGGTGGATTTGTACAGATTTGGACCGTTGGACCTTTACACCCACCTAGACGCTCCAAACAGCTCTTGGTCCCTCAACACCCTAGGGATTTCAGGGTCCGGACCCCTACTTAGGAGGGTCCGGCCCCTACTTAGGAGGGTCCATGAGCGTCTGGGCAGACACTCCATGGGACTGCCATATATGCCAATCAGTTGGGGTGGTTTGGGGCATCATCTATGGCAGTCCCATGGAGTGTTTGGGACAGATTTGGCTGTCCCCTCTCCTTCCTTTGTTGATTTGCCCCAGATACCTGTCCATCGGCAATGGATTGAGACGAGCCGAGTTGAAACGCCGAGAGCGATGTTGTGAGGTCAGAGGACGCGCTGCTGGTGACCGTGCCGGGAGGGCTCATTTTGGAGTGGCGGATGGATGGGGAAGAGTGGAGAGAATTGAAATAAACAAAACAGAGTTGATGCGGGTGGGTCATGCTCTAAGAAGCGCGGGTTCCTGTCATTGCCTGTCATGTCAGGGAGTTTGATCGAACTTTGTTTTCGACACTGGAATTGACCAAGTTTTAGAGTTTGTCGGTGCATTTGTTTTCTTTACAATTGTGAGTTTCTGAAGGCAGATTTTTGGCAATCCGACATCACAGCGACATCGCCCCAGCCCGTCCCCAAGGCAGCTTCTTATATGAGTTTCTCTTTCATCTTCACTTTGCTTCAAACAGAGACCCCCCAGATGCCCCGTAGCCTGGTTGCGACTTCTTGGAGGCCCGGAAGAAACCCCATTGGTTTGGGAGCTTCCACTATTGAGTCTTACCCACCCATCGGAGCAATTCCACTGGGTGAGACCCTCACGGGTGCACCAACCTCACGGCGTCGCGTGAGGTTGATCTTCAGCTGTTTGCTGGGCTGTGGCTTGCCGCAGGCACCGAACCCAGCTGGGCAGGAAGAAGAAACCGAAAGCCTTTGGAAACGTGGAAGAAAAGCAAGGAGATGGATCTGGTAAAACAAGTTCATCGACGACTTACACAAGACAGTCCAGGCGTTGGAGGCTTTTCTGGGTCACTGGGATGAACGAGGAGCGGTGGTCAAACAGCTCCCAGTTTTCCACTTTGTTACTTTTTTGTTTGATAAACATGGATGAACGGTGGTCAAAATCTGTTGGCATTGACTCCACATCGACTAAACATTGCCCCATGATTTGCTTAGTACTTAGGTGGCGGGTGAGGCCTGTCACCTATGATTTCCTTTGCATTTCTAGAGTGTTTATTACCACTCTTTACTACCACTCGCACATCGGTCCAAGTCGACGTCATGCCGGACACTCTGGTCCGAACATGGGATATTACCACTCTTTACACCAGAGCCTTCTAGAGTGTTTATTAATTAATTGCCACTGTTTCACGCCAGAACAAAACACCCTGCACAGACTCTGCTTTACGCCAGAACGTGCTTCATTCAGGCGGCTTGCCTGAAGTCTGAGGCGGGGGAGCACTGGATGTGGGATGATGTGGGTGTGTAATGATCAACCATCGACTTGACTACCGGGTGTCTATGTTTGTCTATCGAAGAACATCTTGACATCTTTGTTCTGAACAAACAACTGAAATCAATCAGATAAGTTGATGTTCCACTGATGTGAGTCCGATTTTGCCTCCAAACAAATCCGGATGGTCCATTGGTCCCCGAAGACAATGGTGCTCAACGGGGTTCGCCTGATGTGAATCCGTTTCAGACAATGGGATACCATGGTGGGAGACCATGGATGGTTGTCCTTTCGTTCATGGCCATGGAGGACCATTACCATTTTCAAGCCGGAGACCCGTCACAGGTGGTGCCCTCACTCCGCTTCCATGCATCAAGACTATCTCATAAGACTACTGGTCAAGGTCAAGCGGCTTTACCGGGTCAGACTGGATTGTGGGGTAGAGCTCAGGTGGATCGATGGATTTGAGGGCCTTAGAGCTCGGGCGCGAGCTCGGGGCTTCTCTTTTTCATCCATGCCGGCCCAGCCTGTAGGAAAGCACAATGAAAGCACCTAAAGCATCTCCACTTCAGTGTTTGGAGAGATTTGGTTGATCCTTTGGTTGAAGACCAAACACCACGACCTGAAAAAAAACTGAAATCCTTGGCCTGTCCGTGCGTCTGTGCTCACCTTTGGCACCGTTCGACACGCACCCGACACAGATCGACCGGTGTGCCAGCTCGACGGCCCGTGCGGGCGGGGCCAGGCGATGCTTCTGGGCGTGGCTTCGATGCTGGCCAGCGAGGAGCGGCGAGAAGCTGGGCGTCGCTGCTGGCCCACGCGTGAGACCGGCTCCAATGTGGACGTGTGTCTTCTTTTGGCGGGGTGGTAGTGGTGGTTCGACTGGACTGTTGGGGGGGGGGGGCCGAAGTGGGGTGCTCGTTGCGCCGAGCGGGTCCCCGAGGGGCTGAAGATGGCTCGGGTTCTGACGGAGTTTGGAGGTTTCATCCGACCCAGAAGTAGTTGGTTTGGAGATCCCGAGGCTGGGGGGGAAGCTGTTTAAAGCAAACTATGTACCAGGACCCACTGGAGTTGGGTGGTTCATGGACACCCTTTATATCCCCTTATATAACCTCTAAGATCTCTAAGGATCTATCAATCGAACCCCCTGGTCCGGGTGTCCAGGTAGAAAGGGGTGTACCTCAGTTGACGGGATGTGCGGGGTCGATCAGCGACCCAGCACCGCCCGTGAGCACCGCACCGTGAGCGGCAGTTTGGAAGCCCCAATGGGTGGTACGGGTACCAAGATGACTCAGATGAGCCAATGGCGGAGGGAGGTGACATATACAGCCATAAAGGAGGTGTTCATAGTTCGTTCTTCGGCCCGGGAACTCTTTGACCCTTGACCTGGTCATCTCCCCAAAAGGGGAAGACAGCGCCACGGGTCCGTTCGCCAGGCGCTTTGCAACATCGAGGTGCTGGCGGGGACCGGCCAAGTGGGGGCCCAACTGGCGAACGCGCGACGCGGCGCGGCGGCGTTGGCGTAGGAGTTCAGAGGAGTTCTCCCAGCGCACGGCCAGTTCACCAAGTTACAACAACACACACACACAAGCAGAAACACAAACAGCACAGAAAAACAAACAGAAACACATATATAGGCAAACATAGCGCAAAGTAGCTACTCAGTAGCCACTTCGAACAAGTTCAACGGCCACAGACCCTGGAGGGCCAAGTCGACTCGGTCTTCCAATTTCGACGACGCCGCGGCGTCGGCCAGCAGGTGACGTGTTTTGGATGTCCGCTTCAGGCCACCCGTGCGCCTCCCACGGTCCATCGAAGGTAGTGCTGTCCATCCTGCTCCTGGGCTTTGGCCTGACGGGCTTGCTCGAGAGCGACTCGAGCGAGCGCAGCTCTGCCCCGTGCGCAGGGAAGGGTCATACCTGGAAGGCCGTTGGCGTGGGCGATTGGGGGTCACCAACGCAGGCTGGCCCTATGCCAGATGTGCTTGAGTAGGGTCCATGTTTGGTCTGCTTGAATTGAAGCTTTGATTACCTGGAAATCTAGTCGCAACCAGAAAGTTGTTCCACTATGGCAACTGAGATCCTTCACATAGCAAGTGGTCGGGACTGTGACACATCCATTTGTTTCTGGTTGGGACTGGGTTTCTAGGTAGAAAGGGCCACCGTACCCACGGAGACTTTCTCATTCCGACCCAACGATGTCTGAGCCCAGGAAGCTCTCGGCTGCCATCCCAAGGAACCAATTTTAGTTGGAAGCAGCCACTCTAGACAAATTGCACTCTAGATCACGGGGAGGGGGGACGAGCAGCCATTGGCGCGTTTTTGGGGTGCTGTGAATCATAAGAGGTCACCTGCTACTTTTGTCCACGAAGATCTAGTTTTGCTTAGGGTTATTCAATTGTCCTTTTGGGCCTAACGTGTGTGAACTCCCTTCTGGGGATTTCTGGGAGTACATCTTTTTTCCTGGTTCCCTAAGCAAATCCAAGAAGAACACAAAGACCCACCTTTGAGGAAGGAAGTTTCCACACAAGAGGAATCATATGTCTCTTTGACGTAGGACGGACTTGCTTGTGGATGGACATCGTTGCTTGTGGACGGATCTTGGGGTGTTCTCGAACCGACTGGGTTTGGTCAGCCCCGAGACCGGGTGCATACCTCTCCCCCCAAAATCAACTCGATACCCAGCTCACTGGTGCTTAGTACAAGGGAACAGTAGAGGCCGGTTTTGGGATGTGGCCATCAATGTTGCCCTGCCCTTTGGCAGGTTGCCCAGACCTCCCCCCTGGTGCAGCTCCCAATCTGCGATTCAACCGGATTGGGACCAGGGATCCGGACCAAGGATTCACAAAAACAAGCCAGGCGCATCATCCAAGAACAAGATCAATCTCTATTAAGACAAAACAACCAAACGGCTCATACCACATCATGACAAGGATATCACATGATATAACAAATAATGGTATGATACCAGATAATCACAGATAATACAGATAATCAGTGATAATACAGTGATAATACCAGATAATCACACAGATCTTAAGATATCAAAAAAAGACCAAACCAATAACTCCTCCTCCGGGTCCTGACCGTCCCAGTCCAGTCCAAGTTGGTTTGATCCGGTCGACTTCGTCGGTCGACTTCCTCGGTCTACTTCGGGAGCATAGCGCTTGCTGGTGTCTGTCGGAATAGTAGGGCCACAGGGAGGGCCGTCCGGGAGGGGAAAGTAGATATTTTCATGGTTTAAGATGGTTTGCCCAGCACTGTAGACTTTTTTTGACCTTTAAGTGTCCTGTCAGGAGACCTGTAAGTAGTGTAAGGTTGTCCATTGGTGACGCGTTGGAAGCAGCTGGTGTGGATGTAAAACATCATGTTTTCATTAAGTCCGCGACATTCCCACAGAGGTCTCGACTGTAACCGTACTGGCGTGTTTTCAGCCTGCTTCATGATCGCGGCCTTGGCTCTTCAGGGTGTTTACCAACAGGTGGCACCCGAATCCTCCGCGCTGTTCTTTTTTTTTTTTCGGTTTCAACAAACACGAGCCGGTGGCAGGTTCAAAGAATGTCAGAGAACACGATCAGATCAACACAAAGCTCTTTCAAGACCGCAAAATAGAACATGTTTCACAACACAAAACCTAGGTGGCCCAGATCGAATCTTGAAACTACTGGGTCGGCCTATTTTTCCCGGGCTTTTTGCATCTCGGCCTGCGCGCTGTTTGCTGTGTGGTGCCGAAGAGAACGTTTGAACTTACTCGCGCCATGGGCGACCCGTGGGGAAGCCGTTGGAAGACCTTTTTGGCTGTTGTGCCTGCAGCCCGGCGGTCCCAGTTCAACTGGGCGCCGGTGGTGGTGGACCGGAGAGGAGAGGAATTCATTGAAGGGGCTTTTAGGCTCTTAAGCCACAGCTGTGGTGCATTCCTTTCGGATTCGGAGGGCGACCGGACGGATGGGCGACGGAGGAGAGAAGGATGGGCGATGGACCAAGGATCGGAGTGATGGACAGACCTCGGTGCTTGAGGCATGTGTGGTCCTTTTCAGACCCAGAGATCCCTGGAGAACGGAGACTGTGAGATCCCCCGGTAGTAGATCCGGTTTATTTGGGTGTTGGGGATGGCAGGGATGGTGCATGCAGCTTTGATATATATATATATATATATACCCTGAGCATCTGAACCCTACAAATTTGTCGGGTTTGAAAACAAACCTCGGGTTTAGCCGTGACATAAGGGAAAACCTCCGTTTTTTAACCAAATCCTCGTGTTTTGCCCCAAAACCCTCCGTGGTCAAAACATTTTTCCCCAAACAGTTTACTGTTAGGGGTTCTCAATGCTTTAAAGAATGGTCGCCTTGGTGCTGGATGGTCTGGTCGGGTTCCCGGCCGGCTTGTCTCCCACTTCCTTT